ACATTTGACATAAATCTATTAGAATCATATTTCTCTTGGTGCTAGGATAGCATTTGCAACTACTATCTGAAATGAGAATTATTGCAATCAGATACCCAGCACGGAATTATCATCGGTTGCTGTTCAGCTTTTAGCATTATAGAAATAATTCTAAACAAACATGATGTCATTGCTTTTCACAATCATCCACGCAGTCAATGAAATAGCTGGTAATTGATGTAACACTCTGTCCAAGTCTTCATTAGGGACTTGACGCCACTATTATTTTGGGATTGGCCACTGCCAACAAGGCCCACCCCTCCCCCCACACCAACGCAGACCCATGTGACCCCGTAAAAAGAGTTTGGCCAATTTGCTCCACGGAGCGACGAATGTTGCTTCTCTTGGGAGACAAACGGACCGCCCGGCCACAATTAGGCCAATTGTAATCCAACTGCAGGCAGCTGCTGTGCCCGGATATCCGAGGGTGCGTTTGGCCACGCAGAGACAGAGAGAGACAGAGAGAGGGGTTTTAGAGTCACCCACGGCGTTGCCAGCCAAGGGCGATGTCAAGGCCGGCGACGAATATCCGCACTGTATGCGTCGCCGCGCAGAGCCGTGGTCCGTAGCGGTGATTGTGGCTCACTGGCCTCTCGATTCACTGGCCCCTCCGGTCGACACGTCATCTCGGGAGGTTGCCGAGCGTTGTTCGGCAACGATGGTTCCCTCACCCCACCCCCACCACCCCCCCCCGACGTTTAAACTCGACGCGCTGGCTGGGTAGCTTGCGTCTTATAAAATAAAATTGGTCGCAAAGTTCAGAAGAACAATGATTGACAAGAACAAAAATGTTGAGTGAAACCCGCGATCGAAATGAGTCGTTTGGTGACCATCGATTCTGCCGCGTGTTTCGGGCTGTAACCACAGTGCGTTTGTCGTCAGCGTGATGAAATCAGCTCCTGAAGATGCTCCCAGCTCGCGGAACGGAACGTCGGATGACCGTGGCGTGTCCGCTCTGGGGGAATTAACCGATGCCCTCACCCTCTCAAGTGCATGATTTGCATTATCAGGTCGCACTCATTACACACCAAGTACTTGCCGAACATGAACTACAATATCTTGCTGATTTCGTCAAGGAGTATAAACCATCACGCAAACTCTGGTCATCTCGGCAGCGGTTTTTTGACGAACCGTCGCTCGCTTTCAGATGCGCCTCTGCGGCCGTCTGGAACGTTCCTCCTTTCGATAGTAGGAAGCGACTGGAGCTATGCACTTTTAAATCTCGATTGAAAACTAATTTCTTTAGAATTGCTTTTGTGTCTAGTTTGTTAGCCTTCCCCCGCACCTCCGATTAGCACGGTTGGTTATGTACGGTGCGAAAGAAATTCAACATACTTATAGATGCCGAACTATGCAGGGTAGAACCCTAAAGCACACGGGGAACTCTGCAACACAACCACGGACACCGACGAAGCGGTACAGACCTCGGTTACTCGTGGTCGCAACTCGAAACATGGGTTCTGAAACAAAATTCGGTTCGGAACCCAAATCGGAATCGGGACAAGTGGCAGAATAAGTTTCAGTGGTGTCATCACGATGAAGACAGCGGGCGGAGTTGAACTGCATCAGCGTGACGAGGACGGGCCGGTGACTCGTATTTCCAAAGACAACTTGTGTGCAAGGTAATTGAAACAAGATGCAGCGAGTTCTGACCAGGTCGGTCAAGAACGGAGCCGTCGTGGTCAGACAAAACGCGGAAATGTTGCAATGACATTTGTTGATAATTAAACGTAATTTGTTTTTAACGGTGTTGTGCACAATGAGACATTCCTTAAAAGTTGCTTGTGAAATGTGATGTATATATATACAATTTTTTTTGCAACTTGTGATCCTGTATGAGCAACCTGGTGCTCTTTGGGTCTTATGTCCAGAGGCTGAGCTGCAATTTACAAACATTAATTGTAGCTACCCAGACAGCAAAGATGATTGAAATGTGGTCCTAGAAAAAGGCCACCTCCACTGCAGTTACAATACAAACTTGTGACCACGGTGACACGAGGGCAGTCCCCTCCCCCATTCCGTATGCACATTTCAGATACTTAAAATATGATGGTAATTATTAACATAGAGTCAAAGCGATTCCTTGCTCAAATGAGCATTGAGGCAGTGAGGCAGTGCTTACGGCTTTGAGCCAGTGGTAGAAATTCCACATTTCTATGGCGGCGGAGGGAATTTGTGCATATGACAACCACTGTTTGACTGTCTACAAAGTGGTATATATTTTAGCGGCTATGTCAGGATGATGGGTTGAGTCGACCCCCAACCAGGGTTTGAACTCGCAGCCTTCCAATTGCGAGCCGCTCGCTCTGCTGCTGAGTCATCTGGCCCTTTAATAACACTGTGTAACAATTTACACTATGAGACCTCCTTTACCAGTGGCAAAATATAGTGATAGTTTTTTACCCTTTAAATGCCACCACTGGTAAAGTAGGTCTCATAGTGTAAATGCTTACCCCGAGCTCTCAATACTCTGATAGTGCGCTGTTTTTGAGTTGTGCGCCTTTTGGCGTCATCTGGTCCAACACCAATGGAGACTAGGCTCTAAGAAAAACTGTCTCGGGTGTGGACCAATCAACTTCAAGGACAGTGCATATCATTATCATCATCAGAGTTGTTTCTTTTTGTTTGCATTTTGACTGCTTGTGTTGTGGTTATTGCAAACATGATGCCTTGTATGAAGGTGTCAGTTTTTGTACCAGTTGAAAAGGTAAAAACCTATTACTGTGTAACAATTTCATTTTGTTCCTGGGTAGTAAGTGTTATTTCATAATTTCTTATGCCTCAAATGTAGAGAAAATGGCTATTATTCCCCACAAACTTTGCTTTTGTGACCAGGACAGTGATATTTTGAAATGTACCTATTTTCAATGAGAAAACGGGCAAATTTGTGTCTTTTTGTTCACATAATGTCATAAAAAAACAACATAAGAATAAAAATTTACATGTATTTATACTAAAGTAATTCAAAAATGAGTACAAAAGATTTAGAAGTGAGTAGTTTTTCGAGATTTACGATTATACTGTAAACCACTTTCACGAATCAGCCCCCAAATGTAGTCTCCCATCATGTTCTCGTTATACTGTCCTTGGTAGCGGCGTTCAAAGTCCAGTATATCCTTGTGGAAGCGCTCGCCTTGCTCCTCCGAGTACGCTCCCATGGTCTCCCTGAATTGATCAAGATGATATTTTGAAATGTACCTATTTTCAATGAGAAAACGGGCGAATTTGTGTCTTCTCGCTCACATATAGTCAGAAAAAAACAACATAGGAATCCAAATTAACATGTATTTATACTAAAGTAATGCAAAAATTACTACAACAGATTTAGACACCAAGGTGCACTACCACAGGCGGGACTGGCCACAGCGGACCGAGTTCTCTGTGGGGAGGAACAACGTCAAGTGGGAGCCACTGGTGGACCCCCGGAGGTGCTGATGCCACCACTGCACATCAAATTGGGCCTTATGACACAATTTGTCAGAGCTGTAGATAAGGAGTCGGCAGCCTTCAAGTACCCTCAAGACGTCTTCCCTAAGCTGTCTGAGGGAAAGGTCAAAGCCGGTGTCTTCGTCAGACCACAGATGAAGAAGATCCTGGAGTGCAATGAATTCCCCAAGAAGCTCACTCGTAAGGAGAAAGTGGCTTGGAACAGCTTTGTCGCAGTGGTTCGTGGCTTCCTGGGCAATCACAAGGTGAAAAACTATGTGGAGCTGGTTGAGACTGGTGAAGAACTACGGCACAATGGGCTGTTGGATGTCCCGCAAAGTCCATATCCTTGATGCTCATCTTGATCAATTCAAGGAGAACATGGGAGTGTACTCGGAGGAGCAAGGCGAGCGCTTCCACAAGGATATACTAGACAGCAAAACGAGAACATGATGGGAGACTACATTTGGGGGCTGATTCGTGAAAGTGGTTTACAGTATAATCGTAAATCTGGAAAAACTACTCACTTCTAAATCTTTTGTACTCATTTTTGAATTACTTTAGTATAAATACATGTACATTTTTATTCTTATGTTGTTTTTTTTCTGACTTTATGTGAACAAAAATACGTAAATTTGCCCGTTTTATCATTGAAAATAGGTAAATTTCTAAATATCATTTTCCTGGTCACAAAAACATAGTTTGTGGGGAATAATAGCCATTTTCTATACTTTTTAGGCATAAGCAATTACGAAATAACACTTACTACCCAGGAACAAAACTTGTGTTACATAGTGTAATCAGTAGAATCATGAAGTACAGCATGTCCACCAAATTAGGGACTGTATTTTATTATTAAAACATAATTTGTCCACTTTTCCTAAGAAATGGAGAAATGCTCAAACTACTGCAGTGTCAGATGTACTCAAACGAAGTGACTTTTTAATTAATGCTGAGCTGGTGTGAGGGAGTTTAATTTCTTGTACGTGTCAAACCGTTGCCTTAACCCATAAACAACCTACATTTTCGAGATAATTACTTTCAAAATGACACTCCCATATATTCTAGATTTGAAGCTTTCGTGACTGCAAGGATTCATATTCTTAGGTTTTTTCGGTAAAGTCACGTAGGTAAAATGTTTTTATTAAAATTAATAAAAGTAAAATAAAAATAAAATAAAAATCACGACGTTTCGGAAATAAAAATCTGCGTTGCTGTTTCAAGTGAAACAGCAATCGTGCTGTGACAGTTCCACCTGAAGACGGAAGCTTGTGTTGCCTCCGAAACGTCGTGATTTTTATTTTATTTTAATTTTACTTGCTTTAATTTTAACTTTTTTACCTACGTGACTTTACCGAAAAAACCCTAAGAATATGACTCCCATATATATTATTGAGCCGAGTTTGGATTTTTTTTCACCGAGGTGATGACAATTTGTATTTGACGCGGACGAAACACAATCTGTCTCATGCTCTTGTTGCATTGACGTTTAATTTGGTGCCCAAATAAAGTCAAACATTTTTTGCAACCGGGTAAAATAAAGGAGCAGGTAAATAAAGAAATCAGTACGCACAGATTTGCGATGAACTTCCTACCTTGCAAGTAAATCACTCAAAAAATGTCGAGTAGACTGATAAACAACCCTAAATGGGCCCTTGTTTGTACAGTCATTGACATGTAAAAGATCCATTGTTTGAATGTCAGGCTTGAATAAGCAAATTCTAGCAGGATCAGAGAGTTTAATGTCGAGTTGGCATAACAAACGCTTCTGATCTTTGAAGTCTCATGTTTAAAAAAAAACTGTAAATAGAGATAAGGATTTTACATCATTTCACTAAACAAACGCAGATACAGTATTTTGGCCGTGCAGTGCAAATGCAATTCTAGTGACATTCGTTTTCTTCTAAAATATGCATCTGATTATGCATTTTCATTATTCGATTTGCACAAAATGCTCACAAATTTAGCAAATAATGCAACGCAGATTTTTATTTCATTTATGATTCTTATTCCCAGTCAGAGTTAACACCGATGTCAAAGCAATGTGCAAACTGATCCTGTAAAATCTCCTCTCTGCTCCTCTCTCCTTCAGCACCACTGCCCGGCATGGTGAAGTATGGTCAAACAATCCTTCATGACTGACACGGTGTGGGGGAGGCCTTCATCCAATTAGCACGGTTGGCTAGGTACGGCGTAGAAGAAGTTCAACGTGCATACAAGGACGGTGGGCACATAGTTACAGACTCAATTTGGAGGCAAGGTGTGTGTGTGTGATAGCTAAATGCTGTGGTTGTTAAGGGTCTTTAACGTCAGTTTAACTGCAAGCGGCTTGTTCTTGGCAATACGCCTCATAAGTGACCGGGTGGCTGCAGTAATCGACCTTTGAACTCCTTGCCAACTGACCACTCGGTGAGTCCTCCATTTCGTGTGTGTGCGTGAGTGAGATAGAGAGAGAGTTTGTGGGGGGCATTGGTGTAGTGGTTAGAGCACTACGCTACGAACACTGTTACCTGAGTTCGATGCCCGCTCACAGGTGACACACATCTGAACCGGCCGTCTCAGCCTAAAATGGGTACCCGGTGTGATGTGTAAACATCGCCAGTTGGGAGACAAAGGCGGCCGGGCGTGGTGTTGGCCACCCCTCCCCTTTGTGCGCTTTGTTGGCCTTCGTAGGTGCCCATGAACAGCACTTGCCCCAGCGGTCTGTTGAAGGCTAGACGGGAATCAGTTCTCTTATATATTTTATATATAACTCAAGTAGGAAGTACTGACGCAATTGATTGACAAAAAGGGGCCGTGAAATATAATTGTTTATTATTATTACACGTGACGCCTTAGGAATGTGGAATTTACACCATTGGCTCGTGCCACGAACACGTACGATTTTGAGGGTTGCGTTTTTTTTACCAACAATGTTGCCTTTTTTTTGTTTCAACATATGCACCGTTTGGGCCGTAATTATTGCCTCGCCCCGCAAGTAAATGATCCCACTCACATCTGCGGCTCAAGGTGGCACCATATCTCAAGATGATGCCCTCGGGACTGGCTCAACATCACACAGCACGGCCCTGTTGAGGAAGAAAATTACACCCCATTGCCCCCTTTGCCTATTTAAACATCCTAGAATGCACCCCGCTCCCCACCTCCTCCACCCACGACCCCACCGTCCCGCTTGTGTAAAGGCAGTGGTGGTGTTTTGTGGCCTGGTGTCAAAGGCTTACTCGGCTCCTGGATGTGCACGACGAGGAGAGGGCGACCCGCGACGTTTCAACGCTCGTCTCCAATCCCGAACATTCCTGCGATGGTAGGGAATGGAGTGTACAAAAAAATAATAATAATGAAGAGACAGCTTGAGAAATGGAAGCATTTGTTTTAGGAAGCCCTTCAGCCTGAAAATGCTTGACTTTTTTTTTCTTTCTCTCCGGGTGGCTGTGAACGAAAGGGGTCCCACAATTGCGTCAAAGTCTCTGAACTCGGTGACGCTGTGCCGAGGTCAAGGCATCTCCGATAATGTCACGGCGTGAGAGGCGCTCGGCGCGCAAAGAGAAAAAAATGATCGCAGACTCTCTCGCAGCGAGACAATGTATCGATTGTGGCCACGCAAAGCTTGGGACAGCAACAGTGCTCGAGGAAAAAAAAAACGCACGTAGTATGCACGCAAACACACGCATATACACACACACACAAACCCACCTCCACCCCCCCCCCCCTGCTGAAGCATAATCTACTCCAGATTGGGAAGTGCCTCATTGGTGAGCTGTGCAAACCTGACGTGGGCCCAGTTGCCTTCCTGCGTATGACCCCACGGACCCTGGAGTGTTAGCAGCCGGCGCAACTTCAGCGCTGCTTTGTCACACTTACCGCCACGCCGGGGCGGCCCGAGATGGTCTCTTCATTTGCAGCTGCGTCTCAGGAATTGCCCTTCAGGGCTCCGAGCCGGCTTGGGAGAGTAGTGCCAAGGCCTGTCCCACATTGCAAAGCCGGTCCACGCTGCCTCCACTTTGAGGTCCGTGGCGGCACAGTCTTGCAGGGAAGGGAGCCACCCGGTACGGTCCTAGCTCCTGTCGCATCAGGTTCTTGGTTTTGCCGTCAGCGTTCGAGTGCGCGGCGAGCGACGCGTTCTCAATGTCAAACGGCAACAGCTGAAGGTAAATGAGTGTCCTCATGGACACGATGCCCAGGCCACTATGCTGTGTGACCTTCGTGGAGGGGAAAAGGGGCGTTTGGACAATTTGTTTTCAATTGGTCAGATGGGTTGGAGAAATCAAGGGGCCACGTTTAGTGCCATCACCACCACCAGAGTTTTTCGTTAGGATTAACTGTCGTGTGAATATTTTGCTACCATTGCGGTGGATAAAGTACAGTAACTTAACCAAATTTTCGGTCGTAAAGATTGCACGGTTATTTTATTGACACGACACCGTTGCATACAATTTGAACTGGGAATGAATGCACAAAAATCATTAAAATGCTTGCAACAAATTTAATACGATGAAATATTGTAATAATTAACGGTACATTTTACTTAAACTATGACATTTAATAAACAAGAAAGATAAATATTACGTGTTCTTTCGGTAAAGTCACGTAGAAGGGAAATAATAAAATAATATAAAACAATAAAAATGTAATAAACAAGAAAGATAAATATTCTTGGTTCTTTCGGTAAAGTCACGTAGAAGGGAAATAATAAAATAAAATAAATATAAAACAATATTTTTTTTATTGTAATAAAAGAATATAAATATAAAACAATAAATGCTTTTTTTAATTGTTTTATATTTATTTTATTTTATTATTTCCCTTCTACGTGACTTTACCGAAAGAACCAAGAATATGAATCCCTGCAGTTACGAAAGCTTTAAAAAAAAAAGTTCTAACATTATGTACATTAATTGACCTCCACATATCATTCTCTGTATGAGGGTATCTGTTTTAAATTATGACAAATATGCGTTTAAAATTGCTCCTAGTTACTTGAACGTTTTCCAGGAAATATTTTTAGAATGCAATTTTCCCGTCATTCGGATGAAAAATTAAGATGGTGGCATTTTAATAAGTGATTGATTGCGCATACAAAACGCACAATATCCCACCAAGGAAATACAAAAAACAAGGTATGTTTTAAGTACGACGCAGACAGCAGTGAAAGTCCTCTCGACGATATGTAACACCGAGCGTGCCTCGTTAAGTTACAGCACTTCCAGTGAAACTGTGGACCAGGGTGCACCGCGAATTTTTGTTGTTTCTTAACAAATGCTACGACCGTGCAAACATTTGTTGAGGCCGCATTTTTTTGCTTCTTTCGGTAAAGTCACGTAAAAGGGAGATAATAAAATAATAAAAATAAAACGTAATAAAATAATTCTCACGACGTTTCGGCCACAACGCAAGCAGCCGTCCTCAGGTGAAGAACATTGTTTTATTATTATTTTATTATTTCCATTCTACGTGACTTTACCGAAAGAACCAAGAAGAGGTCTGTCTTTCATTCGGACGCTGTCTTTCCGACAGACCTGTTCTTCACCTGAGGACGGCTGCTTGCGTTGTGGCCGAAACGTCGTGAGAATTGTATTATTTTATAATCTTTAATATTTATTATTTTATTATCTCCCTTCTATGTGACTTTAACGAAAGAACCAAGAAGATGAATCCCTGCAGTCACGAAAGCTTTCAATCGAAATTTGAGGCCGCATTGTTTGCGAGAAAATGACAATCTCATTCCAGACCAGCCTTTGGTGCTCTTTGTTGATTTCCTCCTCGCTCCCCAAAAACCATTTATCCCAACCGCTGCCTCTCGCTTGTGCATGAAAGCGGGACCCTTCAGACCGAGGCGGTAACTGTCCAGCACAATATTCCTTATTCATGACGTGGCTCGCTCGTTCGCTCGTTCGCTCGGAGGGGGGATAAGCAAAGCAAAGGAGGATCGCAGTTGCCTCAAAGACGCTCGCTGTGTCACTGCCAGAGGAGGCCTTCAAGGGATGGTCCGCAGAGGCAATGAGGCGGGCTGGGGCAAAAGGGGAAAAGGAATTGCCGAGTCTCGCGCGGAGACTTAAAGAGGAGACGTCATTTCCGAACCGGGGGGGCGGTGGTGGTGGGAGGGGGGCCTTCGTTTTTACAAGGCCACGGGGCATTTGCCAAAAAGTAGTTTCTCGTCGTAGGGCAGATTGTTCCCTTTCTTCCAGATAAGTCAATCGCGAGGGAGCAACGCGGGGACTTTGGTTGGCCAGACATGCGCCACTTAGCGTCTTAGCGTCGTCGATGTCGAACTCGAAGATTGTTACGGTGGCGTTGGCACGAACACTAATTACGCCGGAGCACCTTTGCGCGGTAGAATATACGGGAACAGTTTTGTAAATTAAACTGGAAGCCCAGGGGCAGAAAAAACAAGATGAGCATCTGCTAACACTGGCTGGCTTGAGCAGGAAACCCATTTTACTTTGACCATTTAAATTAAAATGACAAATGATATTCGTACATATTCTTGTTTCTTTCGGTAAAGTCACGTAGAAGGGAGATGATAAAATAAAATAAATATAAAATATTTATTTTATTATCTCCTTTCTACGTGACTTTAGCGAAAGAAGCAAGAATATGAATCCCTGCAGTCACGAAAGCTTTAAATCAAAATAATCGTACAGTTAATATGACGGGGTTCACAATTTGAGGAAGTTGGTAATATTTAAGACCATTATGAATACAAAAAGGTAAATATCCTGAGATATATCTGGAAACTGCACTGTTGTGAAACCAAAATTAAGTTATTTGAAAGACCGTAATAGAGTACATGAAAAACATTCCGTAAATCACCTCTGTAGGGCACCACTGTAATGTACTTTCCTTACTTGGGTCCGATGCGTTAGTCTATTGCAATACTTATTCAGATACTGTAGTTTCATGTCCTTTTATGAGCCGTTGTTTAGTGTAAAATAAATAAATAAATACATTCTCAAGCCAATGACCAACTTTAGTAAACTTTGTTTTACAGACAGACATAGAGAGAGAGAGAGCGCGCGCGCGCGCGAGAGAGGGATAGTTTGCAAACCACAGCCAAGGCCCGCATAGTTGAAGCTGATTTGCCACGAGCAGTCTCGGAAGATTGTGTGTGCTGTCTGCCCATGCCAAAAGGAAGTGGAATACAGCGTCCGAGCTGTGATGTTTCAACCATTGTTGTGGGTGCAGGGAAGGATGCGGGGAGCGGGGGTGGTGTGATGGGGTCGGGGGTGGGATATGCGTGGGGGAGTGGGTGAGGGATGTGGGGAGAAGTTGGGGGGAGGGAAGGAGGAGGAGGAGGGGAGGGGGGGTGCATACCACAACCATGAGATCATGGCTTTCCAAGTGCCAGAGTTGCAGACCTCCCAGTCAGAAGCCGCCTAATAAAAAAAAAATTCGCATGGTACATTCTTGTTGTTGTTGTTGCTACCGATTTTTTTTTTAAATTGGTCTCCTATGCTTTTGGACAGGAGAACAGAGGTTCACTGGCAATGTGTCATCGTAGATTTACAAAAAAAATACTAAAAGAGATGAACATGTATGTTATCTTGTTCGTTAAGCGGTGATCACATCCAGACACGCGCAAGGTATAGAACTCAGAACTGTGCAAATAATTTAAACAATTAAAAAAATTGCCTCATTCAACTGTTAATTAGAAAATATTCATTATAAAACATATAAAATATCCATAAACATATTTAAAAAGTGTATTAAATCACCTCTTAATCTGGCATGAATGCACATTTAATGGATGCATGTCCTACTTTTCTTGTGCCCTAAATAAGCATCGCAATTTAGAACATACGAGTTCTCTGACCAGCTGTAATGAAACAAGCATACGGAGGTGTGCCAAAATCTTGCCTTGTAGGTCTCTTGTCGCTGCAGGAAGATATACAGTATATATATTTTTAAAGTTGCGTATAAAAAATAATAAAATGATGATCACATGGTATGCATTCTAAATTTGAAGTATTCTACCATATTTAGAGCAGTTATAGTTTTTTAAGAGGCGAATTTTGTCCACGTTCCTTTTTTTATTCACCCACTTGCAACCTATACTTTGCAATGGCGTTCATCTCGGCGTACTAATATAAATGTGAATATGATCGCGTTGGTAATAATGTAGAGTTTAGCTCAGCGGACCCACAGAATCTGATTAGATTTCCATTCACTTTGGCAAATGATTGGGATAAAGTGGAGGTCTCATGCAACTTTTGAATTTGGCTGCTGTGCAGGGCATTCTGAAAACCCAAAAGTTTCACTGTTTTTTTTAATAGGTACAATCCTAGATTTGAAGCTTTCGTGACTGCAAGGATTCATATTCTTAGGTTTTTTCGGTAAAGTCACGTAGGTAAATTTTTTAAATTAACCTGAAGACGGAGGCTTGTGTTGCTTCCGAAACGTCGTGATTTTTTATTTTGTTTTATTTAACTTTTATTAATTTAAAATTTTTACCGACATGACTTTACCGAAAAAAACCTAAGAATAGGTACAATCCCTTTGTAAGATAAATGAGTCATTGGGCGGAGTCAATATAATGAAAAAACAATAAATATCGTAAAAAATGTATCTTCAGCATTCTAAACGCACTGAACGATTTGCTGCAATTGTTGACAAACGAAACGAGTATATTATATCTAATGGGTTCTGGTATCGGTGGCATTTAATACAGTACTCGTTGTACTTTGTCTATATGTAACATCAAAACAAGACGGTGTATATATTCTAGATTTGAAGCTTTCGTGACTGCAAGGATTCATATTCTTAGGTTTTTTTCTATCAAGTCACGTAGGTAAAAAAATTTAAATTAATAAAAGTAAAATAAATACAGCTATCGTGCTGTGACGGTTCCACCTGAAGACGGAAGCTTGTGTTCCCTCCGAAACGTCGTGGTTTTTTATTTATTTTACTTTTATGAATTTTACCGAAAAAAAAAACCTAAGAATATGCTGTATATAACAATGGCACATGGGTATCCTGGGGAAATGAGTCGTATTTAATTATATCGCAAAGTGAAAGAGTGGCAGGAGAAAAGAGGAAG